TTTTTTTTGTTCCTAACATACTTAAAAAACCCTCCTCTTATTGTCCTTAACCCTGCCAGCCATAGATTCCCCCCCCCCCCAGGTCTTTAGCTTCCCTTATCAATATTCTATATTTAATAACTTCCCATTTATATTGATTGCTATCTATTTCCCCCTTTTTCCATTTTTTATATATTGATTTTTTTATTTCTAATTGGCCTTCACTTTGCCACTGAACCACGATGGACTTTTCTGCCAAAATTGCCCCCTTTTTTGATTGTGGAACTATGGCCTTTTGGCCACCTAATAAACTCTTCTTAAAGAACTCCCAATTTTCATTCACATTTTTCTATCTAACTTTTTCCCTTCTGATCAATTTTGTTTATAATTTTTCTCAGTTTTGGGAAACCAGCCCTTTTGAGGGACCAAGTCTGTAAAACTCTGCAAATCCGCAGCTATCTGCTTTATATCCACGAATGCAGATATCCATGAACCATTTTTGCAGATCGTGGCTCGGATGCAGATACAAATTTTGTATCCGCACAAGGCTCTACAAGTATCTGTATTACTGGTCAGGACTGTCCTCTGTCCATACTGAATGTAATCAGGTCATGATCACTGGTCCCGCACCACCATCTTCCAATCCAGTGATTATTTCATCTTTATATGACATAATGAGGTCCAAAATAGTTGCCTCATATCGGGGGCAATACTTTTCGTGTTAGAAAATGATCATCTATGACTTTTAGAATTTCGAATGATGTTTTCCTCCTGGCTGTCTGAGACCTCCAATATATGTCTGCCATAAGAACACAATTTTTATTTCCATGCCTTGCAGGCAGGAGTTTAAGGAGTAACTCATCCTGTTCTCTGGTTGGATCCGGTGAGCTGTAACAGACCCCCACCAGTACCCGGTCCAGGGCTTTGTTAGTGAGCGCATTCACATAGACTCGCAGGATCTTGAATGTGTGAATTATCAATAGTTCAAAAACAAGCGATTTGTGTCTTTAATGCTGAGTGCCACCTCCCCCACACTCCTGTTTTACCCACTCCATCCTTCCTGAACCAGAGATTTTAACATTCCAGTCATGCAAATCGTCCCGCCACCGCGTTTCAGTAATGCCAGTTATATCAAATATCATCTCCTCCATGGGCGTTTCCAATTCCTCTTGTTGGTTACCAACGCCTCTAGCGTTAGCACATCGGCCGCTGAACAATGTTCTCACGTTCTGCGTCGTATCTGCTCACTTTGCTCACGGAATTTGTACCACGTTTGCCTCCTAAGCACCCTCCCCTCGTGTTATTATTCTAATGTCATCCTGGCTGCTCCAGCTAGCACCGGCGCTGACTCCGTGGGTGCTCCGGGGCTGAAGCACCCACGGGGAAAAAATGGTGGGTGCTGAGCACCCACCGGCAACACCCCGATCAGCTCCCCCCCCCCAGCCCCGGCATCTCCCACCCACCGGTGTGCAGGAGGCTCTGGGGAGGAGGGGAAAGGAGCAGGGGTGGGAAGAGGTGGGGTAGGGCCTTGGGGGAAGGGGTGGAGTGGGGATGGGGCCTGGGGCCAAGCCAGGGGTCGAGCATCCCCCAGCATATTGGAAAGTCGCCACCTGTGCCAGCTAGGCTCCAGCCAAGGAGATTAGCCCCCTGCCTGTGAGATGCAGGCCATCCCATTCCTAGAGCCACTTCTCCCCTGAAGTGTGGCCCAATGTTCCACAAAACATTCAGCTTCCCGCCGGTCGTGCAGCCGATGGGTCACCTCCAGTATTTTCGGCCTTGTCCTGTCTCTCACTCGGAGCCGGAAGGATCTCCGAGAAGATAACTTGGACTTTCCTCTTCTTCACCTCCTTTCCCACATCCCTGAAGTGTTCTTTATCTGTGTAGTTCCACATGAGCCCAAGTCCATGGTTCCCATGGCGAGTTACCAGGCGACTTCATCATCCAAAGGCTCCTAGTGACCTGGCAAATTAATTAAAGGATTTAAAAGTCTGTGCTCTAGTGAGTCAGAGCAAGATACTGAGAGTCAGGACACCTGGATTCTCTTCCTCACTCTGCAAGGGGAGTGGGTCTAGCGGGTTAGAGCAGGAAGCCAGGATTCCTATGTCCTATTCCCAGCTCTGGAAGGGGAGTGGGGTCTAGCGGGTTAGAGCAGGAAGCCAGGATTCCTGTGTCCTATTCCCAGCTCTGGAAGGGGAGTGGGGTCTAGTGGGTTAGAGCGGGAAATGCTCAGAGTCAGGACTCCTGGCTTCTATTCCTGGCTCTTGGAGGGGAGGCGTCTAGTGGGTTAGAGCTGGGGCTTGGAAGTCCAGACTCTTAGGGTATGTCTACACTGCAATTGAAAACTCACGGCTGGCCCAGGTCAGCCAACTCGGGGAAAGGGACTCGGACTAAGGGGCTGTTTAGCTGTGGTGTAGATGCTCAGGCTGGAGAAAAACCCTGGGATCCCGTGAGTGGGAAGGGACCCGGAGCTCGGGTTCCAGCCCGAGCCAGAACATCTACACCGCAATTAAACTAGGGTTGCCAACTTTCTAATCGCACACAACTGAACACCCTTGCCCCGCCCCCTGGCCCTGCCCATTCCCCGAGAGCCCGCCCCTTCTCCAAGGCCCTTTCCCCTGCCCGCTCCATCCCCCCTCCCTCTGTCACTCGTTCTCCCCCACCCTCACTCACTTTCACTGAGCTGGGAATGAGGGCTCCAGCTGGGGGTGTGGGTTCTGGGGTGAGGCCGGGGATAAGGGCTTTGGGGTGCGGGAGAGGGCTCTAGGCTGGGGCAGTGGTTGGGGTGGGTATGGGCTCTGGGCTGAGGGTGCAGACTTCAGGTGAGGCCAGAAATGAGGGGTTCCGGGAGCGGGAGAGGTCTCTGGGCTGGGACAGGGAGTTGGGATCTGGGGGGTGAGGGGTCTGGCTGGGGATGAGGGGTTCGGAGTGCTGGAAGAGGTGCAGGCTCCGGCTGGGGGTGTGGGCTCTGGGGTGGGGGTGAGGCTGGGGATGAGGGGTTTCGGGCATAGGAGGGGACTGGGGCAGGGGGTTGGGGGGGCTCCGAGGGGGTATTTGGATGCAGGAGCGGACTCCGGGCTGGGGCAGGGAGTGGGGGTGCAGACTCCGGCTGGCGTTGTGGGCTCTGGGATGGGGCTGGGGATAAGGGGTTTGGGGTGCAGGAGGGGGCTAGGGCAGGGTGTTGGGAGGTGCGGGCTCCAGGAGGGTGTTAGGGTGTGGGAGGGGGACCTGGCCAATGGGAACTGCGGAGCCAGCACTCGGGGCAGGGGCAGTGCATGGAGCCTCCCTGGCCACCCATGTGTCTAGAGGCCACAGGGACCTGGCAGCTGATGCCAGGAGCCGTGCGGACCCAGAGCAGGCAGGGAGCCTGCATTAGCCATGTGCCCCCACTCCACTGCCGATCGGATTTCTAATGGCCCAGGCGAGCCTGAGTCAGCTAACCTGGGCCAGCCACCCGTCTCTAATTGCAGTATAGACACACCCTTACTCTTAGCTCCGGTAGGGGGAATGCATTAGAGCGGCTATCTAGGAACCAGGTTTCCTGGGTTCTATTCCCTGCTCTCTTCTAGGCTCACCGGGTAACCCTGGGCGGGAGCTCCGGGGAAGGGGCGATTCGGAGAACTGTTACTTTACTTTCTTTTAATGACGATTTGCAAAGCAAATGCTGAGCTCACCGGAGGGCAGAACCCTGAGAGGTGCCCATTCCCGATCCAAAGAAACCCCATTTTGTTCAGCCCAACCAGCTGAAGAGGCGCGAGGCTGGAGACGCTTTTCTCGCTGAGAAAAAGTGCTTGAAAAGCCAGATTGTAATTCATTGCGATTCAGACGGAAAGTGATGGTTTTGGTGGTGGCAGTTTGGGGTTGTGAAGCAGGGGACAGATTTGTTCTGTGTCTGTACAGCAGGTAGCAAAATGGGATCCCACTCCAGGACTGGGGTTCTAGGCACGGCCATAACACACCTCATAAATAATAGTAGTAATAAGATATTTAGTGCCCACCTTAGGGAGGGGTCTTATAGGGTTACCATACGTCCGGATTTTCCCGGACATGTCCGGCTTTTTGGGACTCAAATCCCCGTCCGGGGGGAAACCCCAAAAAGCTGAACATGTCCGGGAAAATCCGGTGCTGCTGGGCCGGGGGCTGGCCCGGGGCCGGCGGTGCTGGGCGGCCAGGGGGTGCG